ATATTTATTGGTAATCCGGAGGCTATAAAATCTACTTAAACGATGCTTAAACCATTACATTGGAAATAGCCAAGTAAATTCTGATTAAACAAATTTGTGCTTGTCTAAACAGTTGGGAATAATTATAGGATCTTGAGGAGTAAATGTTTTCATTAGATACACTTTTTTGTCGTCAATACAACAGTTAAAAAAGTAAACGAAACAAAATAATCGATTTATTTTCAGATATTTCTAACTATATACTTTCAGAAAAACCTAAGTAATTCTTATTCAAAAAGTATTTTTAAATTTAAACAAAGCCTATGTAAACATCACTACTTTTTGAAGTAAATTTAGCCTAGGCACATTGTCATTTGGCAAATATCACTTTTAGCAGTAGGCTCACCCACCTAATCCGGAAATGCACAACATAATATAATGTTGTTCTTAAGAATTAGTTTCAAGAATGGTATGCGTTGCTCCTAAATAGTACGAACGTCCGGTAATAATAAGTCATTCAATATCCTAACCTCTATCACGAGAGAAAATGTCAGGTGTTTCCACAGGACGGAGACGAAGGTTGAATCACGGGTCGATGATCAAAACAAATCACGTAGAATCATGCATGCTATAGGCAATTAATAGTCGTCATGCCTTCAAAGCTATTTCAAAATTGTATAAACTATACCTGCAAAACAAAATAATGTAAACATTTGATAGTTCTGAAACGCAGAGAGAAAGTTTAGCTGTCTCGAATAATCTAATATGATTTTAATTATAATAGAATAATGCAAATTTAGTTCCGTACTATTTAGTGATAAATATTTAATTTGTATTAAACTGCACTTAGAAAAATATGCAGTTTGTCTGCATTGAAAATGGGCTTATTAACGTAGGACAAAAACCAACTGTTTTTAAGATAACTACTTCGAATGCATAATACAGTATCTTGCATTGTCTCTGTTAACATATTTATAGTTTCAAAATTACTCCTTACATTTTCATTTTAAAGTAGTGTATTCAATGAGGCGCGACTAATGGGATTTACTTGCAGGGTTGACCCAGCCATTGTCTCTTTTAATCCGTATAATTAGGGGATTAGTTCCTTGCATGGGTAGGACCGAGGCGCGCAAGGTACCTCTGCGCTCCTTGGTCCTACCCCTACGGATTTTATTTATGACCTCCCATTAGAGCAAGTATTGTGCGCTCCTCGGTCCGCGAATCGAGCACTCCAGAGCAAGAGCAGGTATTAGATGGATTTAAATCTAAGTTTGGGCTAGTTTAGTTACAAACACCGTGCTAAAAGTTGTATATTTAAACAGTTTTTAACCAATTTTAACGACGATTTGACGACATATGTGTCACCTCAGTTCAAGATACAAAAACAGTGGATATGTATAAATTGACCATCATAATATTAGTTATAGATATTATAGTTTTGTATATACATTATAGCTTTTATAGATAGGCTACTGCAGAAGGTGGGGCCACCATCTGCTTATTGTCACTATAGCTTTCATAAATCACAAACGTTGACGAATTAGTCTCACTTAATATGATTTCAAGGCTTGTTTATATAAGAATCCATCCACTCAATAGTAGAAAAATATTATCCATACAACAGTATATTATATTATTACAGTGATACAATCAAACTTTTTGTAAACGGTTAAGGCCATTTACCAAATAAAAATATAGGCATATGGCATATCAAAATGAAGCTTAGAGTGTGTAGATTTTGCCGAAAAGTATTGATATGGGTGAACTCCCTAAGGGCTCTGCCCCACAGGCTGATTTTCAAAAGGCTACGCCTTGCATGTTTTGGAAGTTATTATTTAATTAATTTAGTGAACAACAGCTGGCCAATGCAATCGACAATACAGGGTGAATAAAAAGTCAAGACCCCCCCCTCTAATATTTTTCCAAGTAAATATACAGAGATATCCTTTTGGTGGTCGAGCAATCTTAGCAGGAAGTTTCATTTTATCATTTTGAAATTTTTGAGTGTCCCCCCAAAAGGGGGGATTTGGGGGGCAACGAAAATATTTTAAATGTAAACCCCCTTCAAGTGACACCTCATTTTGAAGTGTTTACAAAAACTTAAAGAATGGTGAAAACTAGAGGTCGCTATCTCTTCTCTATCCAAAATGGTAGCCCGTCAAATGTTGTGGAAAATCAACGGTAAAATTGTTAATATTGGCTGCCATTTTGGATAGAGAAGAGATAGCGAGCTCTGGTTTTCACAATTCTTTAAGTTTTTGTAAACACTTCAAAATGAAGTGTCACTTGAAGGGGAATTACATTAAAAATTTTTTAGTGTCCCCCAAAAGGGGGGATTCGGGGGACAACTAAAAATGTTTCAATAGAAACCCCTATCAAGTGATACCTCATTTTGAATTGCTTAAACAAACTAAAAGAATGGTGAAAACTTGAGCTCGCTATCTCTTCTCTATCCAAAATGACAACAAATATTAACAATTTTACCATTGATTTTCCACAACATTTGACGGGCTACCATTTTGGATAGAGAAGAGATAGTGACCTCTAGTTTTCACCATTCTTTAAGTTTTTGTAAACACTTCAAAATGAGGTGTCACTTGAAGGGGGTTTACATTTAAAATATTTTAGTTGCCCCCCAAATCCCCCCTTTTGGGGGGACACTCAAAAATTTCAAAATGATAAAATGAAACTTCCTGCTAAGATTGCTCGACCACCAAAAGGATATCTCTGTATATTTACTTGGAAAAATATTAGAGTGGGGGGTCTTGACTTTTTATTCACCCTGTATAGTTTGTTTGTTTACATTTTTGTTTACTTATTTTATTATTTACTTTTACGTTCTTAAAAGAGTCGCGGTGAATGGACAGTGAAGCTATTTATAGCTGTTCGTTACAAGTGAGTAACTAAAGGTGTTCGAACCATGATGACTATGAGATTAACAAACCATGTATGTTGTTCGTTCCAAGAGGTTGTCACCGATCTTTAACAGATCGCAATTTCATTGAAAAGTATTAAAGATGTCGTGAAAGAGAGCTGCGTGTTCAGGTACAACCTCGGCCAACCTTAGGACGTAAGGTATGAAGGTTCCACTGCCTTTAACATCCTTTCACATGAAAATTTCTCGAACTTGGGCCCTTTAAATGAAATATAAAGTCAAAGTTGATTAAATTAATTTAATGGTGGTTTCTGTTCACCCGTCAATTCACGGGTAGAACCAATGAAAAAGGGGGGGTTGCGGGTTTATGTTTAAAGTGTGAATTGTAGTTTAACAGCTGAATTCGTAGTACATTCATTCAGATAATTTAAACAAGAGACGTAGTATAAAAATAATGATAGGCCTACTTTAATTAAATTACAGTCTGGTGTAAGGTAAACAAAAAACTGCAGTGTTAAAATAATGTTTACCTAAAAAAACTTCTGGTAGTGTCCTATTTACAAGCAAATACAAAGTGAAAGTAAATAACAATTTGTTATGTAAAAACCAGATAAACACTAAGTATAAAATACGAAATTAAAAACTAAACCAATGTAACAAGAGACAAGTATGTTATAAAAATGCGTTTATAATATAATCCTATATTAATTAACAGTCTGGTGTATTGGTACAACAAAATATTAAAAATAAACTTGTAACTGCAGTGTTTAAATGATCAATTACTACAAAAGGCTTCTAGTGATATAGATATTTACAATCAATAAAAGAAATTTACAGTTTGTTATATACAAAATCAGAAAATTCAGTTGGATGGAATTAAATGCCCCTATGCATTTCATTCAACAATTAATTAATGTAATTTGCAATTTAATAATTGGAACACACAATTCATTATTGTGCATTTCCAACAAAAATTATGTTGGATGGAATTAAATGTACTGTTGTTATTAAGTGAAATAACACAGAACAAGTAAGTATCAACATTAAAATTTTACGGCCAAAATTTAGCGTACGCAGCCAACGAAATAAAGAATTCAAGTTAAAATTACTACAAGTATTTTGCATTTAAAGGTTTCGTAATACAGTAAAGTTCAATAGACACCTTCTAGTGATGAAATGCACTATTTTGTATTGTTTTACTACCTTACACAAACATCTGTTACTTTTATATTTAGTGTTCGCGGCCAACGAAATAAAGAATTCAAGTTCAAATTACTACAAGTATTTTACATATAAATGTTTCGTAATACAGTACTGTTAAATAGGTACCCTCTAGTGATGAAATGCACTATTTTTTATTGTTTAACTACTGTACACGAACATCTGTTACATATTTAGCGTTCGCGGCCTAAGAAATAATGAATTCAAGTTCAAATAACTGCAAGTATTTTACATTTTAATTTGTCATAATACAGTACTAAAAACCACTATCATATACAGTATTAAAAGAAGCATAAAAGATTTATTATATGTAGTAAGAATTTGTGTATTTTTGAATCTAAAATTTTGAAACAAAAATAGGTTTATTTGGGGCGTATATCCACCACCCGTAGACACCATCACTTCCTGAGTCGTTAATGCCAAAGATTACAGCAGTATTCTAATACAATAGTAATGTATTTCCTAGAAGGTTGGCTCCAATGCTATTTGCCCTGTTTCCTGTGTCGACGACCCTGTCCACCACCCCACAGGTATTTCCGTGAGATTCCTGGGATTTAGTGGGTAAAGCGCAAGCTCAGGTCAGGTACCTACTCCCTAGAAACCTACCCTTTACACCA